CTATCGGTTTTTTCAGAATACAACTTTTAACAGCAGAAATTTATCCCATGTGCATATCCGCTTGCACACTAACTTTAATGGGAGTATTTAGATAGTTTCAAGTCGCCTCCTTTTCATTATCCAAAAGTCCAGACGAAGGTTTCCACATGGAGGACAAACCATCGGTGTCTATAACACCGCCAAACGATGAAACCAGGCAACCATTGGGGCATGGTAGTACAAGTGTTAGCAGCGCCTGTCTTTCACCGGCCTTGTCCTCTGGTTTCTGTGGCTGCTCCTCCAACGAAATTTCTCTCGGAACTCCCACTTCTACGCCCCGTTGCGCCACTTTGCCTGGTTCCAGCGCCACGCCGCCTCGGTCCCTAGTAGGCCGCCTTATGTCGGAACCCAATCCTTTTTCCTATCAACATACCGCCATTGTTCCGGGCTTGGAGTCTGTGGATGGTATACTGCGCCTCAAAGCCACACGGCGCACCTTTCAACTACTCTGCAGTCTCGTGGAACCAAAGATGCAGTCGCCGAATTGGTGTGAGCCCCTGCTACACAGACGGCGGCAGAGAACTCAGGGGCAGATCGGCTCAGAGCCGTCAACAATGATCAGCGCCGATGTTACTGATTGTGGTGATGGCCGCGGCATTGCGGTTGATGCCGCTTATCCCGGAAACGCGCCCCCTCAACCGGTAAGAGCGGGCATGTATATAGCACTTTGCTCCACGGAAAATTTTAAATCAGGTTACTCTGTCGGTTAACACCTCTACTATCTAGACTACTTGTGCTCACCGTCCTTATGTATGGGGAAAAGGGTATGGTTAGTCACAGTAAGGTGGAAGTAGTCATCTTAATCATCAACGTCAACAAGAGCAGCAGTCGCCACCGCCGCCGCCACCGCCGCCGCTGCCACCACCACCACCACCACCATCACCACCACCACCACCACCACCACCACCACCACCACCACCACCACCACCACCACCACCAGAGAGCTTGTTAATGGACTATAAAGTACTCTCTGTCGTTCGTGCGGCAGTCAAGCCTTGTTGGCGGA